CTCCCCTCTTCCCTGCCCTCCCTCTTCCGGAAAAAACCTTCGTTTTCCTTTCATCAGTAACAGCCCAGCCTCTTGGGCTTTGCACTTGCCACATTCGTATTTGCCCCAGTATAGGCTTTTTCCGAATAAAATCTATATGGTGTAAGTACGCACGTGGAAAGTTTTTTTTTCTTCTTCCTGAACACCACGACCGTCATACTGACAAAGTCCAGTCGTGGTGTTGAGCAGACGTATATGACTCCATGGACCGAAGCGTCTTAACTCACTGTTTCCATATTCATTTATAATTAATTTGCTTCATGTCTTTGCTTTCTAAGCTCTGGCATCAAATTGTATGCTACAATCAGCTTACATATATTTTGTAGGCTGTATTGTTATCAATCGACAACAGGAGTGAAATTTGTTGTGGTTGGTTCGCTGTCACTGAGCACAGGCGTGGACGCTCTTTTGCGACGAATTTATGAACTTTACGCTGATTTTGCGCTGAAAAATCCCTTTTATTCCATCGATATGCCAATACGGTGCCAAAGGTTTGACGAAGCAATTCGAAGTCTCATCGAACGGCAGGACAAATTCAATATGCTCACTATATGATGAAGTGGCTATGATTTGTACAGTGTATTCATTCATAACTTATTCCCATGCGCCATGTATCTTCTATAATGTTGCTGAATCTCGTCCAGTTTTGCCCAATCATCGAATTTCTGGATTTATCGAAAGGTTATTTTTCTAGAATTTTCATTAAGCCAGTTGTAGCATCCAGGCTGATCTTGGGTGCCAAAGTGTCTAAGGCGTATTGGATACAAAGCAAGAAAGAATGGGGAAAGGAGGCAAAAATGAGATAAGACATTTCGGCCTATTAAGTCATATACGTCTTAACTCAACACTGCGACAGGACCACTTCAGTATAACGGTCATTAAGTAGTGAAATGGAATAGCTTGCCAAATTTATAAGATCGCTTAATTAAACAGTGTTATGAACCGTATTCAAGCTCCAAGCATAGTTGTAGTAAGTTATTCGTTTTGAGAGTTCAAAGTGTTATTGTTTCAAAGTAGTAAGTAGCAGACAGGAAAAACTACGACTTTATGGTTTTTCTACTTGCTTGGGTATTTTGCCATATGATGGATGTAAAAGATCGAAGTTAGAACCACGTAGTCCCTGACAAGGGGCCCAAATAGTTTCATACTTTGTAATATTACGGAGAGAGTGATAACTTAGATGAATAATTCTCATCAAAAAAAGTATCCCGTTTTTTTTTTCTGTGTTTTTGAATGATGCATACTTTTGTATTACTTTTTAGAGTTATTTTAGTAACAGATTTTTTTTTTTTGATGGAAACCTTTGGTAGGCACAAATATTTTGAGGTGCGGCGCATGATGACCTCAGCAAATATACCTTAGAGACGAAACTTTTGCGTGATTCCGGAGAAAAATACGTAAAATTACGACTTTTGCCCATCCTGTGTCCATTTTTTGGGTGTGCTTCCTGTTGTCCCATATTCTG